GGTTGCCTACCCCTGCTTTAGATCCTTTGCTACATGACCCTTAGTCTTACTCTCGACTTATCCATGGGTCAGATCAAAATCTATAATTTTGGCCCCAAAACCTGCCTTCGACTTATACATGAGATTGATTTATAGTTGAGTATATATGGTAAGAATCATCCCTTTTGGCTACTCACTGGTGGGTCTCTTCTGGCAACTCCTGTCCCCCATTTGGTCAAACACAACCACGTCACGCTGCGTTCTCACAATAGCCAAAGATCCGTGTTTGCAGGTGATTTGGCGGATGGCTCCGGGGTCCACCTGGAAGCCCTTGAACGCCTCTGGGAACAGCTTCAGTCCCGGGGAGGATGAAGGGGACGGAGACCCCGGCTGGGGGACCCCCTTGCGCTTGATCTTCTGCGATGACATCTTCTCAGACTTTTATGTCTTTTTCCTCACAAAGAGCCCCAAAATAGGGTGACCAGATGTCCTAACTTCCAAGAAGGATGAGGAATCACAAAATAGAGGACAGGGCAAATTAAAAGCTAAAAACAGTCATATAAAAATGGTAAATCCAGGCTTCTTAGCCCTGCTCAAAATGGAGGAGGTTCAAGGAAAAATAGAGGGCAGGACCCAAAAAAACTAATGCCACCCATATAAAAATGGTCAATTCTGCTCAAAATGGAGGGCGTTCAAGGGAAGAGGAGGACAGGGCCAAATAAAACTGAAAATACTCATTTAAAAATTGTAAATTCAGGCTTCTTAGCCCTGCTCAAAATGGACGACATTTAAAAAAGACCAAATAAAAGCTTAAATCCCTCACATAAAATAATTTAAATTCAGACTTCTTAGCCCTGCTCAAAATGGAGGATATTTAAGAAAAATGACCAAATAAAAGCTGTTAAACCTTCATATAAAAAGATGTCAATTGATGGTCCTTAGTCCTGCTCAAAATGGAGGACATTCAAGGAAAAATGGCCAAACAAAAGCTGGGAAAACCCATATTAAAATGGTCAATTAATGCTTCTTAGCCCTGCTCAAAATGGAGGACATTCGAGGGGAAATGACCGAATAAAAGCTGAAATCCCTCATGTAAAAAAGTCTTGCTCAAGAGGGAAGACGTTTTGCAGTTCTTCCTGAAGAGAAGGTTAAAATGGAGGACACGTCCTGGCAAAGGAGGACGTGTCTGGTTACCTTGGAGGAAGGGTCCCAGAGAAGATCAACTGCAGAACCCCTAATCCCCTCTTTCCAGGACACAAATCCTCTCTGGGCGAGAAGGGAACCAAAGGAAAGGTTTGTCTCTCAGACTCTGATGAAGGCTTCAGTCTTCTTCATCTGGGACTCCCTTTTCCTTCTCCAAACTCCCCGCCTTTTCTAGCTGGGCTGCTGAGGGATGGAGGACATTTTGGGGGCGGGAGTTTCCCTTTTTTATTATTATTTTGGTTTCCAGTTTCGTTTTGCTCTGTTTTTGGGTTTGCTTTCCAAACGTCACAGAACAGAGGAAACAGAAACTCCTGTAGCAGCTGCTGCTGCTGCTCTTGCCTGTCCTTTCTCTTAACTTTCTGTTTCTTCCAAAGGAAAAAGGAAAGGCTAGGAAGACACAGAAAAGGAGGACGAGGCACCACAAAATGTAGGGCATTCGAGAG